AGAAGGGGAACTGGACCAGGCTGATTTGTCTGGACACTTCTTGGTCTGTTTGTGACATCTCTCCCTGTAGGCAGCAGGCAGGACCCCTCTAGAATGAGGGTCTCCTGACCTAGGTTCAGAAGTAGGGTAGAGGACTTCTTTGTGGGCAGCTCTCAGGGGAGGAAAGAGGAAGGGGGAGTGACCTTCCTGCTTCTGCAGTTTTCTCAATTTCTCTCAGTTTAAAATACTCAGTAAAAAATTCTCTGTGATGAATGTGATCATTATGTATATCTAAAATTTACCAATGAAATCTGATTAGAGAAAAAAATTATCAGTAAAAATATTCGGTACATCAAGGTCCCATATTTTGGGATGCTGTATTCTGAGCCCTGACAGCTGGATTTAAAAATGGTCACATTCATGAATGTAGCCCTAACAGACTAAACTAGTTAATGCAGTTAAATGAAATAACTGTTTCAAACAATCATGTGGCCTTATTAGATAGTGTCTGCACAACCGTAGCAATGGATGGGTCTGTGAAAGAGACAGATTTTGGGGAGATGAGGAGGGACGGGAGGAGCTGGGGGAAGGGAAATGGATGTAAGAAGTGTCACGATGCAGTATGTACATGTACCATCCCCAGTGGTGAATGTATACCTAATAAAACTCAATGAAAGCAGAGAAGATGGGGACCTCAACTCACTTCAATCATAGAATAGCTTCTTGTCACAGAAAAGCATTTCCAGATGCAACAATAAGAGTCACAGGCAGATATTTTAGGCAGAATCAAAGAAGTATACACTTAGAAGGCAGCTGGGTGCTCACTGAGTGGGCTGTGCTGGAATATTTCTGTGTTCTTGGGGTGTTGAGGACTGAGGATATGTTTTCCTAGCATTAGTGAGCTGGTTCAGAATGCAAACGGCTTGAGTGTGCTTGAAGTCTAGAAATATTGTGTAGACAACACTGTGTCTGGGGGTTGAAGTCTGGAATATAATTTATAAGCTTATTGTATTTTTAAGACCTGTTCTTGTTGTTTGGAGTGGTGAGTATAATGGAAGGGAAAATAGGTATTGTAAGTTTGGGTAATTTTCTGTCTTGAAGCTGGTCTTTGCTTAAAAGTGTAATTCAAAAATTACATTTCTCCTGTGTCTTTTCTTCCTATGCTTATCTTCTATCCTATCTCACAAATGTTAAGATTGTGTTAAATAATCAAGAGATAATCACATGACTGCACTACTGAACATGAAGGTCCAACTGAAGATGCTCCAGTTTTCATTTTCCTCCTTTCAGTGCATTTACTCTTGATTTTCTACTTCTACACAAAATCAAGCCTATGTGGACTCCATATTACACTCGTTTCCACCATCCCCATGGGACTTCATCCCAAAATTCTCCCCACATTCTCTCCTAAGTCACAAATGCCTCCCTCTGCACCAGACTATGTCTGCCAAGCCTAAACAAGCATTTACATCGTGCATAGGAAAAAGTGTAGATTAGCTCCACCTCTCTCGCCAGGTATAACTTTGTCTCTCTTCTGTTATTCAGAGAGAAAAGTCCCATTTTTTTTTTTTTTCAATTTGTGAGCATCTTGTCTCCTTAGATCACTTCATACAGGATTTTGCACCCCTCTCTCTGCTCTGTCTCTGCAGGACACAAATGACTGATACCTCGCCCGTGCATGTGACACATGTCCCATTTCACATTGCTAGGACCATTCCTATCTTTCCACACATAGACTCCTCTTTTATGTTTGAAGTTGTCTCTTCTTTCTGTTTTCCATCACACACCTCCAGGACTGTCTTTTACCTGCTCTTTTACTGCCACACTTTCCACACCCTCAATTTAATGGTGAGTTGCCCTGATGCATTTTTTTGTGCTGCTCTTTCTCTTTATCTGAATAGGACTTCCCCACATGGTTTCTTTTCACCTGGTCTGGGTCACTTATATCTGCATACCAATGACTCCCAAAACCTGTCTTTATGCCTAGTAGCCAAAGGATAACTAGAAGAAAATAACCAGCTTCTTTTTTGATGCTTCCATTATATCTTCAATAGATAATTCAAGGTTAACATGACCCAGAGATCTTAATCCTAGTCTCCTAGTCCCCTAGTCATAGACCCACATTTCCTAACAGATGACTCTGCTCATAAGAAACATATACTCACCAGAGTGAGACAATAAAGGGTCTTTGAAAAATGCTAAGCAGCTTTTAAAACATTATGAAAACATAATTTTCAAAACCCTTGTATGGATAAATAAAAAGTACATAAAATAGTATCTTTTACTAGTTTTTCCAGAGTATTTTAAGCATATAAAAGTAGCAACCACTAGCCTTTGTCAGACATAGACTTAGGGCATCTTTCACTGAGATGCAGATGTAGGGAGGACTGTGTTCTAAGTGCTACTGCTTCCTGAGTGGGAAAACACATCATGATGCTCCAGAAAGCATCAAGATAGAACTTCCCAACATGCATACTCTTGGTGTCTACTGCTTAAATTAATGGAATCACAACACAACATGTTTCACCAACATAAAAATGCAATTAAGTTAAATTTGTAAAAACTGCTCTATTGTGTGTTCAAAAATAGATTTACCATCTACCTAGATGCTCTCCAAACCTGGGGGTCCTCGAGGTGAGATTCCACTGGTCCTGTCATCCCTCACACTCCACTATTCAACCTCAGGTATCCATGACTTCAAAGCACACCTGAGTTGTCCACTTCTTACCACCTGCTCCTAAGACCCTAATCCATGCTGGAAGTGTCTCCCCTCCTACAAAAAGGCTCCAGCAGTGATTTTCTTGCCTTGATGTTTTTCCCTAAGTACACTCTGCATAAAGCAGCTAGAATAACACCCTTTGCATGTTATTCTGGTCTGTCATCTCTACGTGACACCTTGCAGTGGTGTATTTTCTAACAATTGAAACTTCTCATTTCTGTACCAGTCTTCAAGAGCCTTTGTGGTCTGCTACCTGTATGTTTTCAGAGTTGTCTTCTCTGCTCATTTATTTTTGATCAGCAACTCTGACCAGCTGTCTGAATGCACCACTCCTGTACCGTGACACTGGCACCTGCTGTACTTCCTGCCTGAAGGACTCTACCAGAATCTTCCCTTGGCCTAGTTTTGCTCAAATGTCATCTCCTTGGGGACCTTCCTGAACATCACAGATAAGCAGCCTCCGCCGGTCCCCAATTCCCACTGTGTCATTGTACTTCTTGTGTTATATCACTTACGGGTTATATCATGGGCTTTATCCTTAAGATTTTATTGAAGCATAAGTTCAAAATATTAGACATACAAAAACTTTGAACTTGTTTAATTACATAAAACTGAGCCATGGGTGTGTAATCAGTGTGTACAAGAAGAAACAAAAGTAACAGCACTCAGAAGCCTGCCCACACACCCATCCCACAATAGGTCTTCCAAGAGCAGGAGTTAGTTTTACTGGACCTGCACGTCCTAAAAGTTTCTTATTGTGACTTCTTTAGCATGACATAGAGTTTATAGGATTAGTCCCTGTGGCTGCAAGTAGTAGTAGAATACCCACCTTTACAGTATGAGTATGTCACAGTGAATTTGTCCATTTCACTGCCATTGAACGCTGGGAAGCCTGTACCATTCATCTGCTGTGGTAGTCTCTTGGTGAATGTTATGGGTACGTCTATCAGGAGTTGATCCAAAGGTGAGTGTGCTGGGCTCATCTTGTGGATATGCTCAGCTTCAGTCACTGTTTCCACAAATGTCACGGTGGGAATATTACTTTTGTTTGGTTTGCTTTTCATCTCTTTACATGGTCTTTTCTCCACTGGAATAAGAATTTGTTGTGTGTAGGTGGTTTGTCTTATTCACTCAGTGAATGAGAAAGCTATGTCTATGGGATATAATGTTTTATAGACAATATTTCTAGAAAGCCTGTCATCTGCTGCATACAAAAAGCACCACTTTACTGAAGTACCGTACTGAAGGTCCATCGTCCTTACCTGCAAATTAGAACTCAATGTGCCTCATTTGAGCTGAGATGGTTGGAGGACAAGGAACCCGACAGGGGTATAAATAAATGGTTAATTTTATAGAGTGGTTGACCCTTGTAGGTTGACCATGCCATGATTAAGTTTGTGTAAAAGCATTTCCACATGGTACTTTAAAATTCCAGTGAAGCCACCACTTCAGTCCTGCAGGAATTTCTTATGCCACATGCTTTCTGTCCTCAAGTCCTGGGTCACTTGGGGTATGGAGATAAATGTGAGCTGACTTGTATTACGTGGATGGGTAGCAGTTACCTTGAGGATAATTTAACCTCTGACAACTGTTTCCCTGCCTTCCCAACCCACAGCGTTGCACGTTTCCCCAGTGCTTCAGGAAGCTCTTCAGAGCATGTTCTCAGGACATATTCTCAGGGTGCTGTCCTTGGTTTTCATTCATGGGTGTAACATCATGCACGTAGTCTTCACTCATGTGTTGCAAAGAAACAGAAGTTAAATACTGATTCTTTAATGAAAGTAACAACAACCTGTGACTGTAGTGAGGATGGTCCCCACTTGAGAAAACTCTGTTCAGTGACCCTTCCTACCCTAGGAGCGATGGCAGCACCAAGACAGCTCATGACTCCTCTGAGAGGTTCTTGGGAAGACACCATTCCCATCTGTTTAGACAGAGAGCTGGCTTGTACACCAGCACCGTAAATCCTGCCTTCTCTCCTGAAACCCTTCATACTGTCCCTGACATTTGAAGTCTTGAGTGACTTCTCATACCTACAAAAGGCAAAAGTCCTGGACAAAATTTTCTCATTTGTGTTTCTGGGAGTCACTAGGTCTTTATTTTGAATTCACATAAATAAAGTAGGAAAGGGGGAAGATAAAAGAAAGGAAAGAAGCAATGAAAAAGGGGGATTAAGAAGACACATACTGTCAGTGTTTCCTTTCCTGTCTACCCAAACCCTTCCTCCCGCATGTCCCACAGTGTAACATGGTCACCCTGACTCAGTGTTCCCATGTCCACACCCAAGAGACAAAGCCAACCCTCAGAAAGCCTCTCCAGACACTCTCTGGGAAGACCTGAGCCTCCCCAGGGCCCTCCTCAGCGCCCCAGCTACATCCTTGTTCCTCAGACTGTAGATGAGTGGGTTCAGCATGGGCGTGAGGATGGTGTAGAACACAGAGAAGACCTTGTCCTGGGACGGCGTGTGGTAAGAGTGTGGCAGCATGTAGGTGTACATGGCAGCCCCGTAGAAGAGGGTCACCACGAGCATGTGGGATGAGCAGGTGGCAAATGCCTTCTTCCTCCCCTCCAGAGAGCTCATGTGGTGGACAGTGGTCAGGATTCGGGCATACGAAGCAATCACCACAGAGAAGGGGATGAGCAGCATCAACACGCAGCACACGTACATCACTGTCTCATACAGGGCTATGTCTGCGCAGGCCAAGCTCAGCACAGCAGGTGCCTCGCAGAAGAAATGATGAATTTCCCGGGAGCTACAGAAGGGAAAGCTCATGGTGATGGGTGTGAGGAGGAAGCCATCCAGAGAGCCCCCAAACCAGGAGCCTGCGATGATCATCCAACACACGCGGCGGCTCATGAGGACAGGGTATCTCAGGGGGTGGCAGATGGCCACATAGCGGTCGTAGGCCATGAGACCCAGCAGGAAGAACTCGGCCCCCACGAGGGTGAGGTAGAGGAAGTGCTGCGCTGTGCACCCCATGAAAGAAATGGTTCTCTGGCCCAGCAGATAGTCCACCAACATCTTTGGCACAATGGTGGAGATATACAGCATGTCGATTAAGGAAAGGTGGCTGAGGAGGAAGTACATGGGGGTGTGGAGGTGTAAATCAGTGTGGATCAGAAAGATCATCATCCCGTTGGCCATCAGTGCAGTGAGGAAGATGATGGAGATGGTGACAAAGAGGAGACCTGAGGTTTCCTGTCCGGTGAACAGCCCCAGGAAGGTGAAGTCTGTAGAGGATGTGTTGTACCCTTCCATTGACCCTACGGGGGCACTGAAGCAACCTCGAATCTAGAATAAAATGATGGATGGTATTCCCAGGGAAATAAAATGACAACATATAAAGTAGTTGCTAAGCATAAGAATTCTAAAAGGTAAAAGAAAACACTGAAAAATACTTTATATTCTGGAATTGATATTTAGCAATTTATATCAGAATATTAATCTTTACTTATTTTAAATAAAACTAATGATTAATAATAAAAATTGTTCATTATTTGGACAAGATGTCAGGAACTGCTACTGTACTACAATAATACTCATAACAAGAGCTTAAGGTATATATTATACCATATCATGTTATAAGTGTGTGTATGTTTGTGAACATATTACCACTGGTGGATTTAAATTGATGACACTATTTAAATGCACCTTCATTATAGCCAGCATAACTACCACCTTTAAAACATCTTTGATTCTGGTGACTCATATGTGTCTGTCACTTAGCCGCTAGTGTGAGTAATCTACATCATGAGCACACACTTCCTGTCCACCTGATCATGATAGTACACTCCCTGTCAGTCCATCCAAACTGTGTGGGATGAAATGAACTGGACCATGCAAACTATTCTTGTAAGTTCAGACAAAAGAGAACCATCTAATGAAGAACAAATTACCGTTCAAAATAATTTTTATTTATTTTTTAAAAAATTATTTTTAGCATCAAGAGGAACTATCATTCAGATTATGATTAGCATAATCATTAACAACTAGCGTTAGCAATAGGATTCAGAAAAAGCAGTGCAGGGATATACATATTGAGCTATTATCCACCTACTGTTTTCAGGAATTGAAATTTTTCCATAGTACTTATTAAAAAAGACTCAAATGACTGTCTCATATAATTTTAGGTTATGATAAAGAATAAAAATGCACAATGTTTTATGAAAGTAAAGGTTGATTTTTCATGTTTTAAGGCTAAACATGTACAAGATATTTTACCAAACTGTGAGCTAAATTGACCAAGCTAATTTAATACTCCTCTAAATATTCTAAAATTGAGAGAAAATACAATTGCACAGAAAAAGATGATACTATTGAAAAACAATAGTGAGACATTATGAAGAACTCACTTTTATGTTTGCTGTCTGAGAAGTAGTTTGTGTCTGTAGGCTTTTGGTCTCCACAATCAAACAGGACACAGGGAGCTGCAAAATCCTTTCTTCCCCAGTGCTGATCTGGGCAGAACGTGTTGGTGTGAGTCTGTTAGTGGGGCAATATTAGGACTGGCAGTATCAGCTCACTTTGTTCTACCCACACCCAGGACAATAGCTATACCTTCAATGCATCTATCAAATAAAATATGCCAACCATGCAAATATCTTAAAACTTTTGCTATACAGTCACTGATTTGATTAGTGAAAAATATTCATAGTTGAGAAACTTCAAAATTATTATGATCTATACTGTTATTTTTAAGAGTACAACAGTATTTACTGTTTTATTTCCTTCTGTCAATTTTGCAATCTTTGGTATGAGGTTTTATAAATTTTCCTAATACTATGTATAATTTTGTCTCATTTTCAATCCGTAGCTTCTGCCTTATTATTTGCAATGTTGAGGATCAAACTCAGCACCTTATACGTGCCAGGCAAGTACTCTACTAGACTATGCATTAGAAAGAAAAATGCTGTGCAGTTTGGGGTACTGACTACATATCAGTCACATTTCCATTGCTTCCACACTGTCTACATTTCAGGTTTAACTTTTGTCTTGTCTCCAGACCTCAGTAACAAAGGACAGCTGTGCTGTTGCGTATTTAAATATCTTTCTAGGCTCTCTGTCCACACTCACACCTAAGTGCTTTTACAATTTTTTTAAAAAAATACAAAAATAAAACAAATTTTCATAACGAAATTATAAGAGGACAACAGTACTTGATACGTTGTGTATCATTACCTTTCAAGTGATGACTCTGTGTATAAGACACAGACATAGAAGATTCTTTTTCACAAAAGGGAAACAAACCTAACAGCACAAAACTTTCTTTTCAATAAACAAAGAGAAAATAGTTGTATAAATGAAACAAATTAGTGTATATATTAAAATACCTTTGAAGTGCTAGAGTAGGTAATTTAGGGGATTGTCTGAACTTCTCCCCACTTCTGAGGTATCTGTCTCCTATTTTGTTCCTTGTTTGTATATATATTTTGTAGTCTCATGGTGTCCTACCTTCTCCAGCTGGTGAAAGGAAGATGGCTTAGTTTTTGCAGGCTTCTAGCCTTGTTCTTTTTGCTCACAGAAGGTCTAATTTGTCAGATGGCAGGTCTCCCTCAGTGTGGGCGCCAATTCTAAATAAACTCCGGTTTACTTTACTATCTGCTGTCACTATGAGAATAATGAGACAGAACAATACTTTTTTGCTGGGAGCAGGCTTCACTTTGCTATGGTGTGGCATGAAATAAATGATAAGAAAGCATCTAGAATGATTCTCTGCCTTTACCCAGGAATTTCCCCCCCTGCAGTGATGGAGTAGACATACAGTGAGACAGAGTGCAGAGTTAGGTGAACTGAGCTCTTCTGCTCGTCACGATATTAACCAATTCTGTGACCCTGGACTCTCAAATTCCCTGAGCCTCAGCATCTCTGTGTATTACGTTGAGGCAATAAAACACACCGGGCTGCTTTAAGGATCAAATAAGAAATGTGGAGTTATAGGTGAAAATATTTAATATAATACAAACCAAAACGCCGTTGTTATGTACATATGTGCAATATTTCAACACTATTGGTAAACATGTGAGAATTATTGGTCTGTCTTTTAAACACTTGATATAGTCAACTAAAATCTGTATTTGAGTGGCAAACACCTCTTGATCTTCAGGTCTGTAAAGCCAGGGAATCCCAGAACATATCAGCGGTTAGAGTCTGTTTCCTTTTTCCTCAAATATCTCTTGCCTTGAAGGAAATTATCTTAGTAGAAATTTTGAGGGAAAAATATATGCATTACAAACAAACCTGCAGCAAATCTACGTCTGTGAGGGGTATAGGTGTATTTGGCTTGTAAACTGTACAGAAGAAACAAAAGTTATTGGATAGCACTGGCATGACTATTGTATAAAATTGTCTTTCAGGCTTAACTAAACTACCTTTTATTATATGATACCACACACCAACAGAAAGCAATGCATTTATTCTGTGCTGACATGTGCACATACCGTCTCCTATGCTTACTGGGTGCATGTTTGACTGAGTACCCGTGGTTACCACCTTCTTTCTCCCACAGCGCTAAATACGAAGGTAGGATGGACTCCCTGATCAGGTCTACAGTCACCACTATCTCTACCATTTATATTGTGTGTAAATCAGCTCTTTTAATTTGCAGCTGCTAGGCTCCCACTGGTGAGGCTTCTGCCAAATGAAAGAACACAATCCACGTTCTTTCACTGCCACTGTCTTGTTGCTAGGAACTACTGTTCTGCTTGGACCAAATCTACTCCATTCTACTTCTGTCTGAGCACTTTCAGTCACTCCGAAGTAGCTCTCTATCCTTTTGATATTCAGCTCTCCATGACAGGAAGGTGACTACTGATTTCCTTCATCCTTTTGTGTGTTAGGCTCTGCCTCCCAATTCTTATATATATTCATCTCTGAATTTCTAGAGAAAAGCTCCAGTTTCAAGTATTTGCATGGGATGATATTTTGCGATGTCTATTTGAAAATGTGAGATCTCAGTTGGTGAGGGTTAATAAAGCTATGGGCTTTCCAGTGCAGGACACACTGGAATAGCCTCTGTTTCTATGTCACAAATATTGCTTCATTTCATTATAATTTCATGTGAGAGGGTTTCAAACCAAGTCAACATAAAAAAGTACAATACTGAAATTAAATTAAAAATATATATTACTAATTCTTGTCTGTGTTCCTAAATCTTTCTCAGTATTTAAAAGAATTGGAATTGTTAGAATAAAGTCAAATTGAAACATGAACCATAAACAGTTAGATGTTAAAATATTGATGTACTCAGACAATATGGGAGTGACTTAGAACCTCATGCCGCAGTGAACCACAGAGCCCTGCCCCAGGAGCCATACGTGACCTCAATCACAGGAAGACCAGTGATGGGGAGACAGGCTCTTTCTGATGCGGTTCATCTTTTGCCTTGGGATGGTAGACACAGAAGCAAAAGTGCCTTTGATGCCCGGAGGAGTGCACCTGAGCAATGCAAGTGTCTGCACTGTCGGTCTCTTTGCCCCTCTGACAGTGCAGTGAGGAGCCTGGGCTTGGAAGGTCTGTGGGAGCTGCTTTAAAGCAGCTCGGATCTTAAAGCAGCATCTGCAGCTTCCAGTCATCCATGTGCTCATGTGTGAAACAGGACAAGAAGATGAGGACCACGATCCATGTAGATGGCACAAGGCGGGTCTGGACTTTAGAATCTAAAACTAGGAAGACACTCTCCATGTTGCCTTCCTGTGCCATCTACATAGTACTGTCCTCAACCATTCTAATTTGCAAGACTGAATTTGGCTTAAATTAAAAAATAAAAGAATACAGAATTTACTGAAGTTATCCACACAAGTATGGTGGAGAGCAAATGATCTGTGCTGCTGTGTTTGACTGCACCCTTACTGCCTGAGATTTGCATTCCAGACTACTGAACACGCAATCTGCTTCTCAGTGTACCTGGTGTCTGTGCTGGGGTGTGGGGCAGTCTCCTCCACGGAACTTGGATCTGAGATGTGCAACCCAGCCGCTGCAGATAATCCTGCCTCAGCTTCCTTAGATGTGACTTCCATGGGGAGGGTGCCCAGAGATGGAGGCAAGGCGGAGTGAGGGAAGGGAAGGGTAGGAGGAAAGAACTGCGGTGAGTTGTGTGCATGCACCAGCTCCTCCCAAGGAGGGTCATTGCTAAGTACTGCAAACATGGACTAATACAAATTTTGCAATGAATATAAATTCGGTCTGACCCCTCGGCAGTGTGGAAAGTCAGTCACTTCCTCACACATAGCATTTTAAATGCAATACTATAAGGAACCAGCCTAGGAGCTGTAGCT